CTCACACACACACACACACACACACACACACACACACACACACACACACATTGTACATGGCATTGACTGGTGTGCTCGGATTGGGAGCACACTGTGGTATGGTTCAGCTTTACCATTATTATGGTTCTGTGGCCTAGCTGGTGGTACCCCTCACAACTCACATGCATGCACACACGCACACGAAAAAACTGAATCAGAATGAGGTTTATCGCCAAGTGGGGTATTCATCGAGGAACTCTCATTGGTGTTTGGTTCAAACTCAAATCGACAGCGCTTGAAACAATATTTAGATCTCTGTAAAAGGAAATCTATCCCATTCTTCAAAGAAATATCTATGTGTGAAACTATCAGTCAAATCTCACCAGTACAGACACTATCCAGAACTCTTTGATATTACAACATTGAAGTGATTAAGGAGGGCGGTCGGAAGGAAGGAGAGATGAAAAAGAGGAGAGGAAATGAAAGGATCTTTATGGGAGCCCCGTCTTCCTGCTGCAGCTGATGGCGGAGGAGGGAAACAGGCTTGAAAAGGAACGCTAAACTCTTACCCAGAGAATGCAGTGTTGCATGTGACATGGACACACACATAGAGGAGGGATGGAGACAAATAGACCCCATTACACTGTGCACATTGTAGTCGATTTAACTTCATTCAATCTTTTCCCTCTGTGTAACAACAATGGGCCACAATTAACATGAACACACACTTTATTTCTGCTCAAACACAGACCGTCCTGCGGCCACATACACTCTCTACACAACCAAATGTGGATTAATCCGCCGCTTAAAATAGTCCCCAACACACTGTTTCTGTCTGTTTATACGGAATATGTGCTAATCTACAATAAAAGTGAGTGTCAACATTTTTAGCAGGGGGCGGTGCGGAGATCAAACAGCAGAGCCCATCTGTGTGATGTGAGGCCAGGACGCCACATGGGAGCCACTGTGTGTGTGTGTGTGTGTGTGTGTGTGTGTGTGTGTGTGTGTGTGTGTGTGTGTGTGTGTGTGTGTGTGTGTGTGTGTGTGTGTGTGTGTGTGTGTGTGTGTGTGTGTGTGTGTGTGTGTGTGTGTGTGTGTGTGTTTCTGTGTCTGTGTGTGTGTAAGGGAGAACATGTATATATAAAGAGGCATGCTATGCTTATTCCCAGGCTTCAAAATAAGTCAGAGATCACAGCTGGACAAATGACCAAAAAGACATACACACACACACACACCGAGTCAACATGCATGGATTCAACATTTTTTGGGCACCATATCCAAAAGGATCCCAGAGATTATCAGAGCCGATCAGAAATGTGGTAAATCTGCAGAAGTGGAACTATTTTGCTCCCGTCATGCTGTAGTTTTGTGTGTGTGAATGTGGGTGTGTGTGGTTTACCAGCATGGTTAACCAATACTCTCTAAATGCAAAACTGGGCACCACACACACTGATCCTCTCTCTCTCGCTCTCTCCAATCATTTGGTTACATGTGTACATTCAAATTGTGCACGGACAAATATTTGTTTAGAACGGTTCCTCTATCATATTACAGTTAATCACAAACTTTGTGTATCAACGCCTGCTTGTGAAAAACCCACTAAAATACACTGTAGATTTACTTCCTGCAAGTTAACCGCGACACCATGTGTGTGTGTGTGTGTGTGTGGGCGTCTGTGTGTGTGTGTGTGTGTGTGTGTGTGTGTGTGTGTGTGTGTGTGTGTGTGTGTGTGTGTGTGTGTGTGTGTGTGTGTGTGTGTGTGTGTGTGTGTGTGTTTG